TCAGATTCCCGGGCTCAGCCGTGACAGGCTGGAGTTGTTAATCTGCTCCCTCAGCCCCCAGTCTCCCAGTGCGGCTGTGCCAAGGTCCAGAGACTGGAAGAGGCCTAGTGCCTGCTCTCCTGACCCCCTCTGTGGGCTGTGTCACCCAGCAGCGGACAGCGCGGCCTTGAGCCAGGCCTGCTGCCTCTCCACGGCGTGTGGGTCTGGGCTGCCACTCACTCCACTTTGCCGGCCCTGGCAGAGAGGTGAGGATCACAGCCACGCCCTGAGGCTGCTGGGGGCGCGGACGTGGGCACGGCAATCAGCCCGGCCCTGGCACTGAGTCGGGCACGGGCAGGCGGTGGCTGCTCCTTCGGCACTGGGGTGAGCCAGCGCCCCCTGGACCCTGCCGTGGCCACGCTTTGGCTCCGTTCAGTGGTCTGGCAAAGGTGGGGGCTGTTCAGTGAGGGACATCGGGTCTCAGGAGCCCTGGACAGGCTGGGGAAGGCTTTTGGAGCCTGGCCCCCCGTTTGGCCTGGCTCAGCCTGGGTGGATGGAAGATCTTTCTGGCTATGTTTCTGTCTCTCTTCCTCTACCTTTCAAACAAAACAAAATAATTTTTTAAAAAACAGCCTTGTAGAGCTTCAGTTATTCTTTGGACGCCAGCTGTGGGGTGGGGCCCCAGCTTCTCCGCTCCTATTGCTTTTCATCTAGGGAGCTCCCTTGTGAGGCTGTATTTAAGGAGAGGGTCTCAGGGAGGCCAGGCACTGGCGTAGCGGGTAAAGCTGCCGCCTGCAACACCGGCATCCCATATGGGCTCAAGTCCTGGCTGCTCCACTTCTGATCCAGCTCCCTGCTTATGGCCTGGGGAAGCAGTAGAAGATGGCCCAAGTGCTTGGGCCCCTGCACCCACATGGGAGACCTGGAAGACGCTCCTGGCTCCTGATCGGCCTAGTTGCAGCCACTACAGCCATTTGGGGTGTGAACCAGTGGATGGAAGACTCTCTCTCCCTCCCTCCCTCCCCCACGACCCGTGTGTGTGTGTGTGTGTGTGTGTGTGTGTGTGTGTGAATGTTGTCAGGAGGGGCAGGCAGAGGGATGGTGGGGAGCTACACCTGTCACTGAGCGGAGGGGCTGGTGGGGACGGTTTTGTCCCCAGCCTTGGTTCAGAGTGGTGATTCCCTGTAGGGAGGCCATCAGCTGGCCACTGACAGGCACATCCTGGCCTTCCCTGCTGACCACAGGGTCCGAGGAGCTGGGCCTGGCAAGGCTCAGCGGTCCTGGTGCTCCGTTGCCATGGGAACCTGGGTGTGGCCTGCCCACCGTGCCCACACTGGGATGTCCAGCAGCGACATCCCTCTCCGGGTCTTGCCATCATTGTCTGACGCTGCCGTGCCTCAGTTTCCCCATCCGAGGGAGGGCCAAGCACCGAGGGAACTCTCCTGTGCGCTTCCCTCTTCCTGACTCACGGATCCTGCAGCGTTGGTGCTGGGGCCCCGTGGAGGTGGTCCAGGCCTGTGCTGGACTCCGTCCAGAGTCCTGGGCTTATGGGGAAGGAGCTGCAGACGAGGGCTGGGGGGTGGGTGGAGAGGCAGGGCTCTGGGACCCCAACCTGTGCTTCCAGCCAGTTTTAGCTCCCTCAGACTTGGGAGAACTGGCTTTGCAAGGGGGTGGGGGGAGCTGTGATGGTCCCCACGTTTCCCACTTTGTGATGCAGTCAGAGATCTGCAGGGAAGCAGGGCCACAGGGAGAGTCCTCGGAGGCCTCCTGCCCCAGAATAAGGAGCAGCAGCTGTGATCCCCATTTGACAGATGGACAGACTGAGGCACAGAGCTGGGAAGTGACAGGGCAGGGGGTTGAACTTGGCTGTCCCCTCCTGAGCTCTTCGCCCTGGCTGCTGCCCACACCGTGTACTCCTGGGCTTCCTCGGCAGCCCTCATGCCTACCTTCCTTAGTTGGTTCCTTCACCCGGATCTGGAATCTTTGGCACAACCAGCTCCGAGTCGGTGAGGAAGCTGGACAGGCGGGGGGCAGCGGTGGAGGGCTCCATGCTGACTCCCACCTTCCCTGGGCAGAAACATGAGTGGCCCTGGCCACATCCCCCAGCCTCCAGCCTCATCTATCAAATGGGCCTGAGGCTCGCAGTCCTTCCCAGCTCTGAAGGTGGACTCCTTCGGACCAGAAGGCCAAGGGGATGCTTTCCCCGGGAGGAGAGGGAGAGGCCCAGTGCCTGAGGGTGGATGCTGCCACCTTTAACCTCATTTGGACCAGGCGAGGCAAACACGACCGGCTTCTCTTCCGCTCCCACGCCGCACGCAGGGCTGGTCAGTGGCTGGACTCACCTTCCCTGCAGCGGCTCTGTGGGACTCTCACAGCCAGCATGGTGCAGGATCAGTGGCATGGTCCCAGCCCTGCTGGCTGTGTCACCACGGCAGGGAGCCCTCTGCAGGGACCTGGAACCGCAGCCGGGAAGCCCGGCTTCTCCCGGCTCCGCAACTAGGCAGTGACCTTGGGCAAGTCTTTATCCTGTTTCTGCTACATCAGTTAAACAGGGAATGCAACGTCTCCATCTCCAACGGTATTTATTTTGAGAAGCAAGGTCAACAATGGATGGGAAAATGCTCTGGGCGGTGGGGGGGGGGGGCGGACAAAACAGCAAGCAGGATACAAATGGAGGCGCCTTCTGCGGTTTTCTGATTGAACTGCCTGCTCTCATGCCGCCCTTGGCCTCAGAGCCGACCCCCAGGAGAGCCTGGATGAACAGGGCCAGGAAGCTAATGGGATGGGGGAAAGGCTCAGCCCCGGCCCTCCTGGCCTCGGGGGTCAGCTCTGAAATGGGCTGGCAGGTTGTGGCTCACCGAGTCATTTCTCCATGTTTAGTGCACATCCACTCCCAGTGGAGGTCGGAGCCCTTTTGCTTTTGTTCTTATCGCTGTCCTGGAAGGCACACAGCAGCCAGCCAACCGCAGACCCCGTCTGACAGCTGGGACGGCTGCCACGCAGAAAGGATAGGGGGCTTCCCCAAAGGTTGGCAAAACCAGCACATCGCAAGCTCCGGCTGCTCCACCTGCCACACTGCCTCCACGGCCCCTCTCAGTCCCCTTCCTTCTCCGCCAAGGCACTGGCCTCTGGGGGCGTGCCAACCCTACGTTTAATTTGGGGAGGGGGCCAGGCTGGCGCCTCTCAGGTGGTCTCTCTCCCGGGCTTACCCCACTAACAACCTCTGCCCTTCCCTTCCCGCCCCCACCCACCCAGAGTTCTGGATTGGAGCGGACGGTGACCCCAGCGGGGCTCTCACCGGTGACGCAGGGCAGCGGGTCGGGTCAGGTGAGAGGTCGCCAGGGCGACGTGGCCGCGTTACCCAGCCCTGCCTCCCGCAGGTGGCCTGACCTTGCGCCGGCGGCTCCTCTCTGCCATCAGCCGGCCCTGCTGAGCGACGAGGGTCCCCAGGGAGAGAGCAGGTGCCGCCGGCCCGGGGCAAGGATAATGAGCGCTCCTCACGCACCTTGCGCCCTCCGAGCTGCCATCTGCTAGGCAGGTGCGCCTCCCAGGCCTCTGGGGCTACCCTAGTCTCCCCACCCCCCCGCCCCGGGATCTGGGAGCTCGCTCTTCGCCCCACACTCCGCAATCTCTCCCCAGGGCTCACGCCTGAAGCAGCCAGAGAGGCCCCCGAGGGCAGAGGCGGCAGGCCCGGGACGTCCCTGGCGGAGGCCGCGGGAGCTGGGAGCGGGGCATCCCTGACGAGCCCGGCGGAACCAGGCGCTCCCCCGTCGGGCGGGAGGCGGGGCTGCCCTTGCCTTCCCCCACCCCGCGCCCTGGGGCCCCGAGGGAGCGGGAGCCCGGCGCTGCGGGGCGAGCGAGGCTTTCAGGACGGGCGGGGCGAGCGCCAGAGGGAGGCCCCAGCGGCGCGGCCCCGAAGTGGGGTGCAAGGTTGGGGGAGGGGCGCGTCGGGGGAGGGCGCCCTCCGACTTGGCCCGGCAGCTGGACCCCGGCGAGGCCAGCTCCCTTCGGGAATCTGAGCCGCGGCTCCCGGCCGGGTAAACACGGCGCGGGCGGGGACGCGGGGGAGGCGCCCGGAGGCCGCGGGGCCGGGCCGGGGCGGGGCGCGCCGGGGCCCCTCGGCGGGCGCTGGGGGCGGGGGCAGGAAGCCGGCGCGGCCCCGGCCGGCCGGCGCGGCCCCGTGACGTCGCTCGGCTTCCCGGGATCTCTCCCCGAGACCCGCGCTCGCCTCCTCCGCGCTCCGCCCCGCGCCTCGCTCGGCGCCGCGGCCGGCATTTCGCGCTCGCCGCTCGCGCTCGCCGGCGGCTCCGGCCCCTGCCTCCTCCTCCTCCTCCTCCCCCACCCCCCTCCGCCTTCCCTCTCCGACCCTCGCTCTCCACCTCCCGGCCAGGTCCCCCCTCCGCTCGCCTCTCCCCGGCCCCTCCCCTGCAGCCCAGCCCCTCGCCTGTCTCCCTCTCCCCTTCCCTCGCTCCCCTGCCTCCCTCGCTCTCCGTTTCCCTCCCCCCTTCCTCGCTCTGCGCCCCTCCCCCCGTCGCTCGCAGCTCCGCCGCGCGCTGCTCCCGGGTCCGCCTCCCCGGCCGCCGCCGCCCCCGCCGCTAGACCGGCCGCCTCTCCCCGGGGCGCGCCCTCCTCGGCCCCGCGCCCTCCGGGCTCGCAGGGACTCCCCGCCCGCCCGCCCGCGCGCCCCCCCCCCCCCCGGCTCGCGGCCCCGCCCGGCCCGGCCCCCGCCCCGCGCCCGAGCGCGCCGAGGATGTGAGTCCTGCTAGCCTCTGCGGGAGCAGCAGCCACTCGCGCGCCGAGCCCGAGCGCAGCGCAGCGCAGCCGCGGGCGCTCGCCGGGTCTCTGGCGCGGGCGGCGCGATCTCGCCCTAGCGGCGTCCCCCGGCCTGTCGCCGGCGCCACCGCCGCTGCCCGCGGGCCGTCCCTGGCCGGCCGCCCCCGGCCCCAGCGCCGCTGACCCTGTCCGCCGCGGGCGGGGACGCGGGCGGAGGAGGCGCCGCCGCGGAGCCCCGGGACGCGACCATGTCGGAGGTGCTACCCTACGGCGACGAGAAGCTGAGCCCCTACGGCGACGGCGGCGACGTGGGCCAGATCTTCTCGTGCCGCCTGCAGGACACCAACAACTTCTTCGGCGCCGGGCAGAACAAGCGGCCGCCCAAGCTGGGCCAGATCGGCCGGAGCAAGCGGGGTGAGTCCTCAGCCCCTGGCCCCGGCCTAAGCTTCGCAGGGTCCCCTCTCGGACGCTCTCAGGTTCGGACGCGAGGGAGCCCCCTCCCGCAGAACTGGGGGATCCCGCACTGCGGGTCCTGCTGGGGCGAGCCGCGGGAACGCGTCCCGCTCAGCCCGATCCCCGGCGGGGTCACCCCGGGGGCGTGGCGGCTCCCAGCTGCGGCGGAGGCTGGAGCTTGCTACCCGTGTCCCCACCCGCGCCAAAGTTTGCTTTCTGATATCCACCTCCCCCCACTTTGGCGCAGTGGAGTCGCGGCCGCGCTCGCTGTATCCCTCCGGGGTGGGAGTCCCAGGGCTCCCTGGGCTCCCCAGGACGCGCGGCTCGAGGAGCTGGCGTCCGGGTCGCGGGCTTTACGGTCGCTACTCGGCAGGGGGAGGGGGTTTCCAAGCCTGGGCGCCGGGCGGGGGACCTGGAAAAGCCCCGGGAGGTCGGGGACGCGCAGAGCCTCCGAGGGGAGCTCCGGAGGCGCGAGGACAGTAAGGGAAACCGACGGCCGGCGGGAGGGACCGGCGCGCAGGGATGGAGGGAAGACGCACGGGGCCGCGGCAGAGCTCCGGTAGAGCTGCGGCGGGAGGGCCAGCGCGCCTGGGACGCAGTCGGGGCGGCAGTGGCGGCCGCCAGCGCGAGGGCCACCGCGGAGAGACCCGGGGGCCTCGACAGGTGACTGTCGCGCCGAGGGCCGAAGGGCGCGCGGAGAAAGGCAAGGCTGGGTAGAGGCGGACGGTTTGGCAAGAGGCAGAGCCCCAGGCCGGCGGCAAAGCGCCGCGGGGCGACCTGGCGGCCGAGTCCGGGACCCGAGGCTTGCGGGAGAGGGGCGCCCGCCCGGGCCGGGCCCGAAGCCTGCACTGGCTGCGCGCGTGGGAACCTGCCGCGGCGTTGCCTCCTGGCTCAGTGCGCCGCCTCGCCTGGCGCTGGCCACCGGAGCTGCGTCGGGGACGTCCCCGGGGCGGCCCCGGCCGCCCTCCTCTCTCTCCTTAGCCTCCGAGCCTTATTCCTAAGTGATGCACGCGGTGGGTGGAGGACGCGGCCAGCGCGCGCCCGGCTCGCAGCCTCTCTGCTTCATCTCAGAATCTTCCCTGGGCGCTGGCCAGGTGCGGGGTGGGCTTCGAAGGGACCTCGCGCAGAGGCCCGGGAGGATGGGGCTGGCTGAGCTCGCGGTGAGCTCTCCTGCCCGGCCTCCCGCCCCCGCCCACTGGGCACGGCGGGGATCGTCGGAGACCCCTGGCTAGACCGGAAGGCCACTCACCTCTCTCTCCCCCTCTCTTGCAGTTGTTATTGAAGATGATAGGATTGATGACGTGCTGAAAAATATGAGCGACAAGGCGCCTCCGGGGGTGTAACCCCCACAGCGAGTGCGAGGGAAGAGTAAGGACGAGATCACGGTCATTGGCAAAAAGCATGAGAAAAGAAAGCACTTGGAAATTTATTACTAGCTTGCTTCCACGATGAAATCAACAACCTGTATCTCGTGTCAGGCCGGGAAACAGATGAGGCGTGAGGAGGAGGAGGAGGAGGAAGAGGAAAAGGAGGAGGAGGAGGAGGCGGCGGAGGCGGCTTTGGTCTTCTCTGCAAAAATAAAAATAAAAAATAAATAAAAAGTAAAAAAAAATCACTATATACACACATATAAAGAATAAAAAGAAGTCTCAGTTGCAGCTATTTGTCAAAATTAATATCCATTTCTTTTTCTATCTGGTGAATATTGCGCAATTATCTGGATGGGAGGCACTTGCGAATCTGCAGCCGCGGGTGTTTTGAGGTGTTGGCATTCTTTGCTGATTTGGCCGTTCCCCATGTTTACATTATTTAATCTTGCAAAAATGATTCTTGCACTTGGATGTGAAATGCTGTTCAGTTTTTTTTTTTTTTAAATGTTATCCTTGGATGTACAAGAGAATCAGAAAATGATGTCTGTAGATACTGTTTGATTTTGGTCATCCTTTGAGGTTATATGAGGAATGTGTCTCGAACAAGAAGATAACTTTTCGAAGGGACGAGACGAGAGAGGATCCTTGTTTTATTTTAAAATAAAGTGTGAAGCTTGTGTTTGTTGCAGCAAGCTATTTGCCCAAGTTAATGCAAATGGACACGTTTTATATGTCAGGACAAAAAAAAAAAAACATGAAAAACAAAAAAAATGCTTGAGCTTTCTCCGAGGCCCCTGGCAGTCTATTGTGTGAGCAGCCTGATTTCTCTCTAATATTGTGTCAGTTTATTCTCTTTAATGGACTGTAAAAAATGTAACCACAAGAGTGCCAAATATCTTGAAATGCCAAAAGGCATTTTGGTTTCGTTTCTCTCCCCCGTGCTCGGAGTCCACGTAAAGGAATGCTGGGAGCGTCTTTTCTGTTATTTATAGGGATTCTCTTAAGGCACACCAGCTGCCTGTTTTGCATGGTATTTGCAAAAATGCCTCTTGCGTGAGGAAATCTTTTACCGTTTTTCGTTTGCAACTTTGGACCTCAAGAGGTTTCCCGTCCCTTTCCCGGTTCCCTCTTTTCTGAATTGGATATTCTGTCTGTTGCACCTTGAACCAGCACACAGGGCTCTCTCCAATGTACAATAAAAGAATGTTCCTGTGTCTCCTCTGCCCTCTGCTTTGGGTCTGTGATGCAAAATGACAATGTCGCGTGGGTGGGGTGGGCTCGGGTCCGGGAAAGGTGGCGGGGCTGGCAGGGCCGCCGCCACGGGGCAGGTTCCTGGGTTGAGGTTTGCCAGTTTCCCTGCTTTGAGGTTGCTGCGCTCTCCCCCTGTAGGGTGGGTGGGGCGGGGAGGGGGGGTTCAGTCAGCCTTGTGAGCAACATTTAGAGGCCGGGCGCTTGGACGCTCAGCCCTGAGGACTGGAGCAAGTCCCTGCGGTTCTTTAAGCCTCAGGCTCCGGATCGGTGCAGTGGGGAGAACCAGATGAACACAACACAGAGGAGGAGCCGCTCCGTGCCCATCTCATCCCTCTCCGAGGGCCACCTGCCCTCAAAGGCAGGGCCAAGGACAGGCCGTGCCCTATCCCCGCAGCCTACCTTCTGGGGCTCCCAGCTCCCTGCTTGAGGGCGCCCCCCCACCGCGTCCCCACTCCTCCCATCACCACTGGCAGAGGCTTGTGGAGGCAGGGAGCAAAGTAGCTCCTTGGGGGGCTTGGTGGTTCAGGCCCCTGGGGGAGGAGGGCATGGGAGGAGGGTTTTGGCCAAAGAAAGGCCCAGACAGCTTTCCCTCCTGGTCCTGGAGCGTTTAATGCGTGTGTTGTAAAACTGTCAGCTGGGGAGTCACAACACAGCTCCCAGTGACACAGCCTGAGTGTGACTCACTTCAGGTAGAGGCCCGGGAGGTGGGGGCGGGGTGGGGGAGGAGGAGGGGCACCAGAGGCCCAGGGGGGAGGGGGGTGTGGGCCCCGCTGCTGCAGGGGGCCCAGGGCTGGCAGTGATGATCAGGAACAGGGCGCCACGGATGCCTGGGGCGCCTGTTTGATTCACCCCTGGCACGTGACCCTCTTCTCCGGGAGCACAGCAGTCCCCTGGTTTTCCTTCTGAGAAGGCTATGAGGTGCCAAACAGGAAGAGCAGGGCTCACTCAGCACCTAGGAGTACTGGGTACTGAGCACTGAGCACCCGCCTCATCGAAGCGCTGAGCAGTGCTTTCCCTCTGGTGGGCGTTGCCACCCCAGCCCAGGAGCCCTAAGGCCATTGGCTTTCTCCAACAAGGCAGGAAACCCTGCATCACCTGCATTTACTTAGTGCTTCCTGCAAGCAGCCCTACCAAATCCGCGTTTCTATTACTGTTCACGAGAGAACGGACTCCGGCAAGGTGACCCAGCTGGGAAGTTGCTGGGGCAAGTCTTGAACCCAGAGCCCACGCTCCGGGACGGGCAGAATCCCAGACAGGCTCAGTCCCAGCTGCAGGCACTGGCCTTCCGCCTTCAGCTGCTTTTGTTGGGTGGCTCTGCCTGTCTCCAGCCGCTCTGCACAGCAAGCAGCCAACGGGTTAGTGCAGGCCAGGAAGCCTCTGCTGGGAAGCGGGGAGCGTGCAGCCACAGGCCAAGGCCCTGGGGCCCTTGTAATCGGTGATGCATTAAGAACGGCCCTGCTGGAAGACACCCTGGCCGTGGGCGCCCAGTCCTCTGCCCCCAGAGACAGTCTGCTTTTCCCAGAGAACCTGCAGCCAGCGAAAGGGAATCGAAATCTTCCAAGTACACCACAACACTGGGTAAGGGTTTGTCAAGAAGGCACTTTGGGGACTGGGCAGACATCAAATCAGGTAGCCAGAAACACGGTCGAGGCCGTTCGGGGAGGGTGTCTCCAGGCCTGCGCGGATCGATGGGCGCGCGAGGGCTGCATTAGTCCAACGGCACTAATTGGATGCCTGCAGTAAGCGATCATCTCCCTGGATTCTGCTTCCGAGGCCTGTCCGGCTGACAGCCGGGGAGCTGGCAAATTGAGTTGTAAGAGAAAGGGACTTGGAAATGAGTGCTCTCTGGAGGCCAGAGCTGCGGGAGCCCGGGGGAGGGGGATCGTTGGACAGGAGGGCACAGGTCCCCAAGCTCTCGGGGCCTAGCCCATCACTCGTTCTTAGGGTGGCTGCCTTACACACACTTGGGACTTAGCTTGGATTTGAAACTTCTCTCCTAAGCCACCAGATTATGACTTCGGGTGTTTCTCAAGCCTCTGTTTCCTGTCTGAAGAACAGGGATGATGATAATCTTCACAAAGGATTGGACGGGAACTCTCTCCTCCTCCCGGGCACAGGGCCTAGTGCACAGTGAGTGGCCACCAGCGACGGGAGCTGATAGCCGGGGCCCCGATGGACTTGCAGGAGCAGCAGACAGTTCCTTGCAGGTGGTCTCCGGCAGGTGCACTGAGTGGGAGGAGCATCCTGGCATTGGGAAGACAGGTGGGGAGTGGTTGTGCCACCAGCTCCCCAAAACCTCCAAACAATATTTGTACAACTCTAGGTGGATCTGGGTATCTGTTCCCCAAGGGCAGGGTCAGGCAACCCCTCCGGCCCTCTAACCAGGCTGTCCCCAGCCTTCCTTCTCTTGGCTTCCAGGCCTGGGAAGGGAAGAGCTTGGCTTCCAGCTTGGATCTTCTCCTTGAGCTACATTCATTTGACAAATATTGATTTGGCACCTGCTGTGTGCCTGGTGCTGTGCTCGGCTAACTGGGTATACGATGGTGAGTAAAGTGGGAGTTTTGAGGACCGGTGTTGTGGCCACCTGCAACATGGCCATCCCACACTGGAGTACTGGGCAGAGACCCAGCTCCCTGCTCCTGACCCAGCTCCCTGCTGGAATTTTGGGCTCCTGGTGTCAGCCTTGGCCTAGCCTCAGCTGTTGCCAGCATTTGGGGAGTGAACTAGCAGGTGGAAGAACTCCTCTCTCGTCGCTCTCTCTCTCTCGTCACTCTGCCTTTCCAATACATAATAAACAAATCTTCAAAAATACTAATAACCTTGTTAGAATAGCTTTAGCTGTACAGAAGACCAGCACAGGGCTTCCGTACCTCCTGACCCCATCTCTCCTGGCGGTGACACCTGACATGACTGTGGTGTATTTCTCCCAGGGAGGGCACCCCCACTGGCACATCACTGTTAACTCCACAGTTTCTCCCTTTATTCTTCTTAACTAAGATCTCTGTTTTGTTCCCAGGACACCACATTGCACGTACTCACCTGTCTTCTTGGGCTTCTCTTGGCCATGATAGTGTCTCAGACTTGCATTGCTTTTTTTATTTGAGAGGCAGAGTTATAGAGAGACACAGAGCGAGATCTTCCATCCACTAGTTCACTTCCCAAATGGCCGCCACGGCCAGAGCTGGGCTGATCCAAAGCCAGGAGCCAAGAGCTTCATCTTGATCTCCCACACAGGTGCAGGAGCCCAAGGACTTGGGCCATCTTCCACTGCTTTCTCAGGCCATAGCAGAGAGCTGGATCGGAAGTGGAGCAGCCGGGACTCAAACCGGCGCCCATTTGGGATGCTGGTGCCACATCCATAAGGAGCCATATAGAACCATCCATAGGAGGCTTAGCCTGCTATGCCACAAAGCCAGCCCCTTGTCTTTCTTTTGATGGGGTGCTGGCCAACCACCGTGTAGCCAGCCCCCTAGCTGGGGTTTGTCTGATGTTTTTCTTACGGCTCCTGGGGGTTTCAGCATTTGGGAGGGAGCCCACGGAGGTCGGGGGCCGTCCTCATCGCGTCCTGTCAGGGGCCAAGCCGTGGACATGACTTTCCTCTGGTGCTGTTGAACTTGATCCTCTGGCCGAGGGAGTGTTAGGCAGGAGTTCTCACTGCAAAATCCCCGTTTTTTCCCTTTCCATACTGTACTTCTTGGCAGGAAGTCATTCTGCAAGCTCACCGTGGAGGGTAGGGAATCATGCTCCGCCTCCTCGGGGAAAGCTCCCTCCATAAATTATTTGGGATTCTTGTGCACAGGCGGCTTGAGTGACCCACTTTTCAGTCGTCTGACCTTTGCCTCGATGTTGGGCAAATGCACTGTGGTTTAGATGCGCACGCGACTGCCAGGCAGACAGGAAGAACAAAGATGCCCACAAGGCCAAGGTGCTGCCTGATGGCCGATAGATGGAGCCTTGCAAAGAAAAAAAAAGGGATTAAAAAATTAATAAAAGCAACTTCCTGTGGAGGGGAGCTGTCACTCTCGTTAGAAATTGTGCAGAATTTTTTCTTGGAAACCTTCAGGCAGCTGCTCTGGTTTATAAAATCTGCCTATTAGAGGGAGGAGAAGAGAGAGAGAGGAAAAAGGTTGTAGTTATTCCAGCAACAGAGAATCTCTCAAACCATATGCAAAAATAAATCCTGGGCGACTGGCCGGTCCTGGAGGAGACCTTGCAGCTGGCCTGGAACTCGTCAGGTGGCCCCCAGGGACAGAGGCCCCAGCCAGCTCCCCGAGTGGCATGTAGAGTCCCAGAAAGGCAGTGGCTGGGTCACTCCCCCCTCCTCATTGGCACCGTGCACCTTTGCCCCCAGTTCCAGGATGAGGATTTGGTTTATTTGTTGCCCCTAGCACCGGGCCCTCTGTCCCTGAACCAGGGGAGGTACACACCCCCTAGGGCTGGAGGAAGGTCCGTGACCCAGAATCAGCTGTTCTGAGGACAAAGGGTCACTGAAGGCAGAGAGAGGTCAGAGGGACAGGCTGCGGGAGGAGGAGATCCCGGGAACCGTGCCAGGGAAAACCCTAAGAGAGGAGAGGGCCATCGGGGGCGTGGCAACAGGAAGTGGTCGGGGTAGGCGGCTCTGTAAGGCCAAGGGCTGGCGGCCGGGGGCTGCTGGTTTCCAGGCTCGACTCCGGTAGGCACAGAGGGCGGGGCTTGTGCTAAAACGAGGCGTCTTCCGGTTCAGGGACCTCCCTGCCTGGTCAATGACCAGTCAATGGCTGTGAACTTCAAGAGGTCAGGAGGGGGTGGGGCCGCGGGAGCACAGCCAACCCTTGGGGGCATCCACTAGGAGTGTCTCAGACAGGACCAGCCAGCAGCTCCCTGTGCGACCGTCCCCTCGGGCAAGTATTTGGTCTCACTGGGACTGCATTTCCCAAAGTGGAAAATAGCATTTACCCCGTGTTGGCTGCAAAGCAAGCTCTGCTCCACACCCTTGGCATTCGATTTATTTCATTTGTAAAACCACCCTGCGGAGTAGTCACTGCTGGGTGAATCATGCCCATTTTACAGATAAGGACACAGAGGCACAGAGCTCAGTCGCCTGCCTGAGATCCCGCAGCTGGAGAGGGGTGGGGCTGGGACTGAAACCCTGGCAGGCCGGCCCCGGGAGTCCAGGCTCCCCACCGCTCCCCGGCAGGCAGGGGGCGGGGCAAGACCAGTCCCCGCCCCTTCTGGCTGCTCCGCGCTCCCTGGCAGGAGCCCAAGCGCCCCTCCCCCCACGGAGGATCCGGTTGGCCGTGAACCCTGGACCAGGCCAGCCGGTTGCCATGGGGACGGCAGGGCGGCGGCGGCCCGGGCAGTTCCGGGGAGCTCCCTCCCGCCTCTGGCAGGGAGTGGCCCCGAGCCGGCACCTGGGGCTGTGTTTTCCTGGCAGCCACCGGCAGCCACCCCTCCGAGACCGGGGAGACCACCAGTCCCCGTCCCCCGCAGCGTCTCAGCCTCCTGCGGCCTGAACTCAATCCCCCGTGCGCGCAGCGCGCTTCTCCAGTTCTTGGCGTGAATTATTTACGGCGTCTGGCGGCCTCCCCGGCGGCCTCGCTCCCCTCCTCGGCCCTCAGTGTCCCCGCGGTCCTCACTTCCCGGGTTCTGAAGCCCCTCTGGCCGCTATCCGGGCCCCGGCAGAGCTGGGGGCGGGGGCGGTCCTGGGAGCGGGGGACACTGGGCTGGGGCCCGGCTTGGGTCCCCGTTGTCCCCCTCCCCCCACGGCCCTCTGCGATACTGGGGTGGTGATTCCTGCACTCTGCTTCCGGGGCTGCCCAGCAGACCCAACAGGGTCACGTGCAGGAATGACCTCTGAATTCGGCAAAGCGCTGTTGGCACACACAATGGTACTGTCAGTATTTTGTTTTTTTCCATTATTTGTGTTTCATGAATTGCCTTGCCACAGTGCTCAGTATTTTGCATATGGTTTCTTATTTAATAGTCACAGCAACCCTAGCTACTATGCCCATTTCCCGGATGAAGAAACTGAGGCCCGGAGGGTTTGAGTGACTCGTCCTCAGGACACCATCACCTGCCAGGAGCTCTCAACACTTAGCCAGGCCTAAGCTGGATGCCGAGTTGCCTGAAGGCCTTTCACAGGTGCCCAGGGAGGTGCATGGGCACAGTTGCATGGGTGAGAGTCATATGCACAGGGAACAGCGAGCCCCGTGTGCCTGGCTCTGTGCACAGCCCCTGCCCCCAAGATGCTTCTGTCTAGAGTTGGAGTGGGGCTGGGGACTGGGAACAGGGTGGCAGCCACGTTCAGGCCTGGTTCTGGGGTAAGGCTCTGTGCCTGGCGTGATGGGGCTGGGCCCAGACACACAGGGTGGGTTTCCACGGGCCCTGGAGAAGTGGGTAGGGGTGGGGTGGGCTCTCTTGGTGGAGGAAGACAGGAGCAGAGGGACAGAGGGTGGCAAGTTTGGGCTCTGCCGGCGACAGGGCAGGTCCTTGTCCTTGGGGGAGTGCGGGGTCACCCCATGGGGGCTCCTGGACTCTGAGCAGAGGGTCAGTGTGGAGCAGTGGCCCTCAGTGGAAGGGACCTTGGCCACGTCAGGACGTGGGGTGGGGTGGAGTAGAGGCTGGGATGCTGCTGACCCCTGCAGGTGAAGGAGGGCCCCCAGCAGAGAGGCTGACGCTGAGAGTGAGAAATCCCACTTTACAGCATGCCTAAGAGCCTTTAAGTTTCGGGGCAAGTCACCAACTTCTGCCTCAATTCTCTCCTCTCTAGAATGGGCTGATGAGGGAGAGGCGCTCAGCCTAGCAGTTAAGACGCTGTGAAGATGTCCGCATCCCATATCAGAGCCTGGGCCTGGGACTGGGAGGCAGCGGTGACGGCGCAAGTGCTGGGTCCCTGCCACCCACGTGGGAGACCTGCACTGAGTTCCCAGCCCCCAGCTTTGGCCCCTATGGACAAATAGGAGCTCTCTCTCTCTTTCTTTGCTTCTCCAGCTTAAAAAAAAAAAACCACTAAAATAAATACATAAATGCAATGTGCTGATTAGGATAGCGAATGTTGGAGGAAACAGAAACCATCTTTCAGGCTTCCTGTGTGCCAGTCACAACCTGGGATGCTGTTGCAAATGTTGTCTCAGGGCCGGCGCTGTGGGTAAAGCCATCGCCTGCAGTGCCGGCATCCCATATGGGCAGTGGTTCGAGTCCTGGCTGCTGCACTTCCGATCCAGCTCTCTGCTGTGGCCTGGGAAAGCAGTGGAAGATGGCCCAAGTCCTAGGGCCCCTGCACCCATGTGGGAGACTCAGAGGAAGCTCCTGGCTCCTGGCTTTGGATCGGCGTAGCTCCAGCCGTTGCGGCCATCTGGGGAGTGAGCCAGCGGATGGAAGACCTCTCTCTCTGCTTCCCTCTGCTGCTCTGTCCTCCTCCATCAGACTGTGTTTTCCTTGTGAGCAGGTGCTGGTGCTCTCTTGTGGATCCGCACATCCGCAGGGCTTTACACAAACACCTGACACATAGCAGGTCCTCAGGGACTAATGTAGAAGTGATGTGATAATAACAACCTCTTGCATATGTAGTGTTTCAGTTTCCAAAGCTTCTGGATCTAACCACCTGATCCTCATGGAAGACTTGTTGATGGAGGCAGGCGGGGTTTAATCTGTGTCTCCATTTTGTAGGGAAGGAAAGGAGGCTGGGAGCGGTCAGGCGGCCTACTCAGGTGGACCGGGGCAGGCCCACTGCCCATGCTATCCAGCCTGTAGCAGGTGTGGGTGTATTTGGTGCAGAGCAGGAGGCTTTTCAGTCCCTGGCTCCACGTTGTCTGTCTCGGGGGTGGAGGGTGAGCGGCCAGAAGCCACGGCTCGCTGTGCTTGGCAGGAGCTGGGGCCAGCTTGGTGTGGCGGTGGCCAGGGGCTGGGTGTGTTCTCTGGAGGAGAACTGGGAGGTGATGGCTTCTCCCGTGAGGGCATTTTCGCTGATGCACCCTGGGAGATTCAGGGGAAAAGTATCTACAGCAGAGAGCTGCTCAGTGAGCTGCAGTCCCGCTTCTTGGAATGTTTGGCAGCCATTAAAAAGGGTGTAGGTGGCTTGACGCGGGAAAGTGGGTGTGGCACCAGGCTGGGGGCAGGAAGGAGGAGATGAGCTGATGGGTGACAGCGGTGGTGTTGAGATGGGTTTTAATCTTGGATCTGGACTTACTGGTGGTGAACCCAGACAGGTGGGCCTCTCTGCGCCTCAGTCTCCCCATCTGTAAACCAGACTGAGAGAGCTGGGGGGATTTGATGAGTTAATACTTGTTAAGAGCATAGTACAATGCCTAGGGTCTATTAAGATTTAGTAGTTATTATTATCAACACAGCAATATCAAATATATATAACAAATAAGGATATATAATAGGTATATAAAATTACCTATTATATATAATAGGTATATAATATTACCTATTATATACAAAATAAATATATAATATACAGATGCATATTATATATTATATCTACTATTAAATATATATATATATAAAATGAATAAGAAGGAAGGAGATTTTAACACTGTTCCTTTTGGGATGTGGGTTAATGGATAGTTTTTCCTTCCTTTTTTTCCTCCTTCCCTGAGTTATTTTTTTAAGGTGTATTTTATTTATTTAGTTATTTTTTTAAGATGTATTTTATTTATTTGAAAGGCAGAGTTACACAGAGAGAGGAGAGGCAGAGAGAGAAGGAGAGAGAGGTCTTCCATTCAATGGTTCACTCCCCAGATGGCCGCAATGGCCGGAGCTGCGCTGATCCGCAGCCAGGAGCCAGGAGCTTCTTCCAGGTTTCCATGTGGGTGCAGGGGCCCAAGGACTTGGGCCATCTTCTACTGCTTTCCCAGGCCACAGCAGAGAGCTGGGTTGGAAGTGGAGCAGCCAGGACCAGAACCGGCGCCCATATGGGATGCTGGCGCTTCAGGCCAGGGCGTTAACCCGCTGTGCCACAGCGCCGGCCCTGAGTTATTTTTTTTAAGATGTATTTATTTAGTTATTTTTTTAAGATGTATTTTATTTCTTCGAAAGGCAGAGCTACAGAGAGAGGGAGGGAGAGACAGCGAGGTCTTCCTTCGCTGCTTCACTCCTCAAATGGCCACTAGGACCGGGGCTGGGCCAGGTTGAAGCCAGGAGCCAGGAGCTTCTTCTGGGTCTCCCACGTGGGTGTAGGAGCCCAAGCACTTGGGCCATCTTCCACTGCTTTCCCAAGTGCCTTAGCAGGGAGCTGAGTTGGAAGTGGAGCAGCCAGTTCTTGAACCAGCACCTATATGGGCTGTGGGCGTTGCAAGCCGCAGCTTTACCCACTATGCCACAGCGTCAGCCCCTCCTTCCCTGAATTCTGTAAGTCATTTATACTGGTGGTATTCCTTTTTATTGTCATGTAGTAATGAACTTTTATTTCCTCCCAACAACTGTGGGGCCACAGACTCAGGAGCAAGAAGGGTGACCACGGGGAGGCACCAGCCCCGGCAGCACCTGGGCGCCCTGGGAATACACCCGTGTCAATATTTTTCTCTACCTGGAAGGGCAGCTCCCAGGCAAGCTTTCTCTAACCAGATCGGATGTGCCTCCCGCCTCTCGCCCGCTTGTGCGATGATTCTATAGGGCGCCCATTGAAACCCACGGCCAGGCTGTTGAAATGCCCGCAGCCATGACCTGGCGCCCCCTGATGACCAGAATTCCCCAGGCAGGCAGCATCGGGAAGGGAACTAAATCGCCCTGAGCACCCCTGTCATCATTGCACGCGCGCTCTGTGCAGTGAGACAAGGACATTTCTAGCAGAGTGCTGTGTAAGCTGATAGGGGCTCCGTCAGCCCACGGGCCAGGCCGGCAGCCGGCCAGCCACAGCCTGCCAGCCGGCCAGCTGCTCTGCACACGACGCTGCTGGGTGCATAGTAGGCGTTCACGAACCCTTGTCAAGTTCAGCTGGATTTTGTTAGCTGTGGCCGCTGTGTGCCACTCTGTCCTTGGCAATGTGTGTGTGTGAAGAGGGGGAAGCTACGGGATCAGCCTCAGCTCTGGGAAGTCAAGGCCAGTGCGTCCTTTCAGGCCTGTCCACCGACACTTTCCTGAGTTCTGACCCTGGAACTAGGGGTCTAGGTCAGATCTTCATTTTTTTTTTTCTCATCTGTCTGGGGATATGGGTTGAAATGACCATGATAACCATGACTGGCAAGATCTTAACACGTGCCCGCCCTCCCATCCATCCATCCAATGTCCATCCGTCTATTCCTCCATCCAACGTCCATCTGTCCATCCATCCCATTATGAAGCAATACAATTGTATATAAGTAATTAGATCCTAGGGCTAGATTTCCTGGTTTCATTTTATTTTGAACATTTATTTATTTATTTGAAAAGCAGAGAGATTGTACTGGGATCCCCTGGCATGATTCTAACTCCACCATTTGGGGCAAGTCCGATTGAGCATGTCCCAAATTGTACATCTCCTCCCTCTCTTATTCCCACTCTTATATTTAACAGGGATCATTTTTCAGTTAAAATTTAAACACCTAAGAATAATTGTGTGTTAATCACAGAGTTCAACCAATAGTACTAGAACAAAACAAAGAGAAAATACTAAAATGGATAAAGTATTACATTGTACATCAACAGTCAGGACAAGAGGACAAGGTGGCATGTATCAATGCCATCTCACTAGTCCAGGTGATCAATTTCAGTTCACAATTGATTACACTGATAGGTCTAAGAGTCAAAGGGATCACACAAACAAGTCTAGTGTCTGCTAATACTAGCTGATAGAATCAAAAAGGGAGAGAACAATCCATCATGGGAAGTGGGATACACAGTAAACTCATAGAATGGCAGATGTCCTAAATATCACTTTGGCCTCAGAATCAGCCCTTAAGGCATTCGGATATGGCTGAAGAGCCCATGAGAGTATTTTAGGCATGGAAAACCAAGACACCCTGGAAAAAAAAAAAAAGGAAGACCTAAATGGAAGATCTCTGTGAATGAGATCCCAGTGGAAAGAATGGGGCCATCAAAGAAGGAGGTACCTTTCTCTGAAGGGAGGAGAGAACTTCCACTTTGACTAAGACCCTGTTGGAATAAGATCGAAGTCGGTGAACTCAAAAGGCTTCCATAGCCTTGGCAACTCATGACTAGAGCCTAGGGAGATTACTGACGCCATAAACAAGAGTGTCAAATTGTTAAGTCAACAACAGGAGTCACTGTGTACTTACTTCTCATGTGGGATCTGTCCTTAGTGTGTTGTCCAATGTGAAGTAATGCTATAACTAGTACTGAAACAGTATTTTACACTTTGTGTTTCTGTGTGGGTGCAAACTGATGAAATATTTACTTAATATATACTGAATTGATCTTCTGTATATAAAGATAATTGAAAATGAATCTTGATGTGAATGGAATGGGAGAGGGAGTGGGAGATGGGAGGGGTGTGACTGGGAGGGAAATTATGGGGGGGGGAAGCCATTGTAATCCATTAACTGTACTTTGAAAATTTATATTTACTAAATAAAAAATTAAAAAAATAAATAAATTTAACTGAAAAAAAAAAAAAGAGAAGCAGAGAGAGAGAGAGAGAGAGAGAGAGAGAGACCCTGTATCTGCTGGTTCACTCTCCATATGTTCACAGTAGCTGGAGCTAAGCCATGCCAAAGCCAGGAGACAGGAACTCCCTCTGGATCACTTGGGCCCTCATATGCTGCCTCCCAGGCACATTATCAGGAAGCTGGCTTGGGAGCTTAGAATAGCTGGGACTTGAACCAGGAACTCCGATATGAGATGCAGGAGTCTTAAGTGGTGGCTTAACCTGACTGATTTTACACACTTTGTGGTCTAGGAGGTAGATGGCTGATCAGGCTCTAAAGTCACAGAGCAAGTTCACGGTGCTGTGGTGACAGAGAGGAGGGGGCTGATACCCAGATGGAGCCTCAGCGGAGCCTGCCGCAACAGTGGCCCATTGAGTGTCCTTGTCACCACCATCGTGACCACCAGGATTTCCTGGACCTAGTGTGTGGGCCATGGTCAGTTGGAGTCATTGGTAAAGCCGGCCCATGCACCTCTGCCTGGTCTGGCCCCTGACCTTCTGTTCCTCATCCATTCTCCACTCTCACCTGACCCCTCCATTCTTACTCACTGCCTGTCAAAGGCACCTGTGCCTGGATCCCTGCTTCTGGAGGACAACTGATGAGGCTGGTTACCTGGCTGGTGTGGAGGGCAGATCCTGCTACGTCCCTGTGGCCCTCCCCCCTCCCCCGTCACCTTGGTCTTCACCATCATGCACCTGCTCGGTGCATTTACTGCACATAAGGAGATCATCTACCGCGAAGCTGAATATTATTCAGCTCAATTTGTGTGCAACTGTCAGGTATTTAAAGCATCAACAGTGTGTGTTGACTGCACTCCGAGACACATGGATGCCTTGACTATACATTTCAGCTGGGTTGGGTTCATCTTTCTTCAAAAGATGGCGTGTTCGGGGGATGGGTAAACCCCAGGCAGCCAGGCCTGGGTTTCAATCTCCCCAAGTCACTTGTGGCTCTTTGCCCTCCTTGGACAGGTCATTTGACATGGCTGGCTGAGCCTCCGGTCCCTTCTCTGTTGGATGGAGGTGTAATTCCCACGTGCAGGGCAGTTGAGGGTTCTACCGAAATATCAAGCACCCTCTTAGCGTAAGAGCCATTCTAGCAGCTCTAAGTGCTTGTGGAGGCAGAGGCCCAGGGGGCCCAGGCCGCTGGAGATGTGGGGGCCTTCAGGGTGGTCTGGGAGGCCTGTCCCTGTAGGCCTGGACCTGCTGCAGGGGTGTTCCAGGGCGTGGCCTGTTGCCAGAGCGGCCTGAGACTTATGGGTGTCTGATTACCTGGGGCCTTGCAGGAAATCTCACAAAATTCACCCAGGCCAACATCCCATGATGGAGACCATAGCTGAGTGACCCTTGACCACCCACCCCTGGGTCTCGGTATTGACTGATGAGAGCTTTGGCCTCCCTCTGAGGACCCCAATACCCTTCGTTGAGTTTTCAGTTGGCAAAAGGATGGTTCTTCCATCGTGAGACCCCTCCTCCACCACATAGTTCATTCACGTGTTAACCTGGCAACCCTTTATCGAGTTCCCCCTGTGCTGAGGCCTGCCCTTGAATCGGGGTTCAGGCACTCCCCTCCCTCCCCCAGGGCCTGCTCGCTTGCCTCAGTAGGCTCAGGGAGGCCAGGGGCTGGAGAGTGGACTTGATACAGACCACAAACATACAACCAGGCCCGGCCACTGTGGTGCTTCTGGGTCCACAACCCACGGCAAATGTCACAACACTCCCAGATCACTGGCAATGGGGTACTGCGGGTGGTGTGGGACCAGAGCCAGAAGGAAGTTGTGAGGGTGTAGGCCCAGGCCAGAGGGTGAGGGCGCGAGTGCCTGGGCAGGGGCTGGAGGGTGAGGGAGAAGCGAGGGGACAGAGAGGAGGGTCTGGGAGGAGGATGCCAGGAACGGTGGGTACAAGCCTGGGGGGAGGAGGAGCTGGGTGCTGAGCTGGCAGGAGTTGGGGGAGAGATCCTGATATGAGGCGGAGTTGAAGCCACAGGTGACCTAGGCCTTGGTGGCCGGCTGGGCGTTGGCGACCTCTGGCATGGCCGCCCCTTGTGACTGTGAGACAGAAAACAGAACCTAGGGAGACACAAGGAGAGGAGTCAGGGGTGTGTGTGGGGGGCTCGGCCTTTCTTTGAAGGGAGGTGGGCAGGAGCAGGTTGGGGCAGGAGAGATCTCCAGGGTGTGTCCAGTGCATCTGTCATCTTCTTAGGCCTCTGTGGCTTCCTAGTCACTTGACCTGCCAGCCAGTGGGACTGGTCAGCCCCCCACTAGCCCCAGAGCACCTGTCTCGCGCCAGCTGCGGCTCTGCATGCTGGGGTTTGGCTGGGCTCCAGTGCAGGGACTCAGGGCAGTGGTGTGGCTGCCCCTGACTCTGGGGTTAGGCAGGGGTCACTCTAGGTCAGCGAGAAGGGCTAGCCTCTTATCCTCTGGCTAGGAGGGTAAGTTGGGTGCGGGAGACAGCAGGGACAGACTGGAACTTCATCCTCCATGCCAGGTGACCAACTGCCACCGAGGCTGGCACCCCTCACCACGGAGCTGCCCACCCACCTGGCCAGGACCTGGGGAACGGAAGGAGTGAGATCTGGAGGCGCGAAGGAGCCACAGGACCCTTTGCTGCCCCTTGGAACCAAGATGGACCAGCAGACTTGAGACGACCATGCACCTGGGGGACATTGTGAAAGCAGACAGCAGCCGCTGCCACCTCCTTCTGCCCTCCTGGTCTCACGCTTTGTCTCCTGCTCCCCGCCACCGGGCATCACCCAGGGAGAGGTATTCTGGGGCCTGTTCCTGCAGCTTCAGTAAGCTGCACTGTCGCAGTGCACAGCTGCCCCAGGATGGAGTGGGTCATGGTGGTCCAGGGCCAGGCAGAAGGGCGAGGCGGCTGCGGGCTGGAGGCTGCGGGAGGTAGGAGCTGCAGCCCGGAGCGTGGTGGGAGCCATAGCAGGTAGTGCTTCCCAGGTGGCAGAAGCAGGCTTTGGGCCTGGTTGCAGGGGGAGACGTCTAAGCAGGACAGAGGTAGGGCAATGAGCTAAGGTTTCCAGAGCTCACTCATGCTGCTGGCTGGGCAAACCCTGTGGGGTGGGAAAACAGGGATTAGAAGGCCCCAGATGGGGGAGGGGCAGCTAGCTCATGGTCCAAAGGGTCCAGGATGGCAGTGGTGCAGGTGGGTTCTGGATCCCCTCAGGACATAGAGACTGGGTTGAGGGGAGTTTGTGTGATGAAGGGTAGGCAGGCACCAGGGTCCTGCAAAGTAACAGAGCTCTAACCCTGGACTCTTTACATTTTTTTTTTTGACAGGCAGAGTGGACAGTGAGAGAGAGAGAGACAGAGAGAAAGGTCTTCCTTTGCCGTTGGTTCACCCCTCAATGGCCGCTGTGGCCGGCGCACCCTGCTGATCCAAAGGCAGGAGCCAGGTGCTTATCCTGGTCTCCGATGCGGGTACAGGGCCCAAGGACTTGGACCATCCTCCACTGCACTCCTGGGCCACAGCAGAGAGCTGGACAGGAAGAAGAGTGACCGGGACAGAATCCAGCGCCCCGATCAGGACTAGAACCCGTGTGCTGGCGCCGCAAGGTGGAGGATTAGCCTATTGAGCCGCGGTGCTGGCCGACTTTTTACATTTTTATTAGCTTATGTAAAGGCAGAGAGAGACAGATGGAGATCTCCCTTCTGCGGGTGCACTCCCCAAATGCCTGCAACATCTGGGGCTGGACCAAGTCAAAACCAGGAGCCAGGAACCCCATCCGGGTCTCCCATGTGGGTGAGTCGCAGGGACCCACGCACCTGAACATCACCTGCTGCACACGCAGGTAAGCAGGAAGCTGGGATTCCGAGCAGGCGCTCTGGTGTGGGATGCAGCCTTCGCAAGTGGTGGCTTCATGACTTTGCCAATTGCTGCCCCATCCTGGGCTCTCTTGGTTCTTGCTCCTGGGGGAGGCTGTCCCTTCCCTAGTGGCTTCCTTGGCCGCATTGTTATGAGAATCCATCCCCTGTCCCCTGTCCTGTCTGCTCCCCTCTAACGTCCAGGGATGGCCCCATCCCCCCACCCTTGGTTGTCCTGTGCTGCCTGCACCCCCAGCCTCCTGTGCCTTTAAGATGGGAGAGAAAAGCCCATGAAATCTATGTCCTCAATAATGAGAGGCAGGGAGGAAAGATAATAAAAGCTGGAAGCAGCCTGGGGGAGAAGGAAGAGACTTTTCTCCTCTCAGCCCTGTAAGTTTCCCCCTGGCTCTGAGAAGCCTCCAAAGAGTTCTTCGCGAACATATGAGTAATAACCCGGCAGAAACGGCGGCCTTGGAGCGCAGGGGAAGACGGAATGGTTCTGTGTTTGATTAGAATTTATTTCCAACCTGCAGCCTCCCTGGTGCCGGCCTCCCACGCTCCCGCCCCTGCAGAGCTCAGCGGCCACCAAGCAAGGCAGGAGGGAAGGGGGAGGGCAGGGAGGCAGGGGGACGCCTTCAGGGGACCCTGCTGGCGTCAGGGGCTGCCAGACCAGGAACCGGACACGAGAGGCTGCTGGTCTGCCAGGGTCTGGGCAGGGAGGGGCGACTGGGGCCGCCAGGTGAGTTAGGCTGATAGTTTGCTGTGTGGTCTTGTGTGGCTCCTGTACCCTCTCTGGGCCTTCCTCAAGCTGAAGGATCCCTGGAGGCTGATTGTGGGACAACTACGACTTCCTTGTCTGGGAGCAGATCTGGTTCTTCCGGGTTGGGTCGGAGGAGGTTCCCTAGACGGCAGGGAGGGGCTGGGCCAGGGAGCGTCTGGACTCCCAGGACTTCGGGTCAAGGGCTTGCTCCTTTCTGGCTCATCTCCAGGTGCCGGGGTAAATCTCAGCCCAGGCCTCTCCTTCCTGCACCCTCCGGTGTTCAGGTGCGCGTCCCGTTTTGTTACTCTTGGGCTGGGTTTTTTTTTTGTTTTCTCTTTGACAGGCAGAGTGGACAGTGAGAGAGAGAGACAGAGAGAAAGGTCTTCCTTTGCCGTTGGTTCACCCTCCAATGGCCGCCGCGGCCTGCGCGCTGCGGCCGGCGCACCGCGCCGATCCGATGGCAGGAGCCAGGAGCCAGGTGCTTCTCCTGGTCTCCCATGGGGTGCAGGGCCCAAGCACTTGGGCCATCCTCCACTGGCCTCCCGGGCCACAGCAGAGAGCTGGCCTGGAAAAGGGGCAACCGGGACAGAATCCTGTGCCTCGACTGGGATTAGAACCTGGTGTGCCAGTGCCGCAAGGCGGAGGATTAGCCTAGTGAGCCGTGGCGCCGGCCTCCTAAACATTTTTAGTGAGTGGTGCACATACTGCAGAAGTCCCTCAATGAGGACTGTGGTCCTCTCCCGCCAGCTTTTTTAAAAAGATTTATTTTATTTATTTGAAAGAGTTACAGAAAGAGAGAGAGAGAGAGAGAGAGAGAGAGAATGAATGTCTTCTATCTGCTGGTTCACTCCCCAAATGGCTTCAATAGCTGGAGCTGAGCTTATCTGAAGCCGGGGGCCAGGAGCTTCTTCCAGGTCCCCCACGTGAGTGCAGAGGCCCAAGTGCTTAGGCCATCCTATGTTGCTTTCCCAGGAGCATTAGCAGGGAGCTGGATCAGAAGTGGAGCAGCTGGGACTCAAACCGGCGCCCAAATGGGATGCTGGCACTTCAGGCTGGGGCTTTAACCTGCTGCACCACAGTGCCCGCCCCCCAACCTTTTTTACAGCAGAGAAATCTGGAGTAGAGGATCATAGCTCCTCTCGCAGCTGCCCAGGGAGCAAGTGCAGAACTTGGCCTTGAACGCAGAACTGCAGCTCAGCCGCCCTCCGGAGCCCAGCCAGGAACCGGCAGTCAGCCGGGGGCCCCAGAGCCCACAGAAGATGACAGCGGTGTGTGGTTGCTGTGTGCTGCGCCCCCGGGGCTCCCCTCCCCCTCCGGTAGTAGCAGTAGGGCAGCCTTCCTGCATCTCCCGGCACCAGCATCTCAGAGTGGAAAACAACACTTCCCTCGGCCACCCACACCCCAGCTGCCGAAGTGACACCACTGTCACTGCCGCCACGGTGGGCGTCTTCGCCTGCGCGCCACCTCACATGTGGATAGCGCAGCCATGAAGCTGCTGGGAGAAGGGGTCTGGAAGCGGATCACGCCTTAGCTTGAGGCCTTGGGAAAACCGAGCTTCTGGCAGCCGTGAGGTCCTGGCCAGGCCTGGGCTGCGATGCGCAGAGGACGGCAGTGGCGAGATGCGGGCTCTCATCCCGATATCCCCACTGGCCCAGGGGGAGTTCTGAGCACTTCTGGGGCTCCAGTGCTCCCTCCAAAGACAGGCCGTGGACTTCCAAGGGCCCTGCCGGAGCTGCAGGTACATAGTTCGGGATGCTGGTTCCTTCCTCCCTCCCACCTCTGAACATCAGAGAGCTATCTCCCTGTTCATGGCCTCAGAGCAGTATGGGCTGCTGCCTTCACAGACTTAGTCTTGTCTGACCACCCAAGCATGCCACAAGGCCAGTGGGATCGCCTTCCTGTGTCAGAGGGTAAGGACAAGGGCCTGGCCTGAGGTCATTCAGTCTTTGGTAAACTTCGAAAGCCATGAGTAGCTGTATCTGAATAGTGTAGACACCACCATCCCATTCCCCAGCTGCAGAAGTGAGTTATGCAGGCCGGTCTCCCCCAGGCCGCTCAATGGCCAGCGCCACATCAGGGGTCCATTACTCTTCGCTGGGTGTTTTTCTTTTTCTTTTTCCTTTCCTTTCCTTTCCTTTCCTTTCCTTTCCTTTCCTTTCCTTTCCTGTTCTTTTCTCTCTCTCTTTCAGATTTATTTATTTGCTTCAAAGAGTTGCAGAGAGAGAGAGAGAAAGAGAGATCTTCCATCCACTGGTTCACTCCCCCATTGGCCACAATGGCTGGAGCTGTGCCCATCCAAAGCCAGGAACCAGGAGCCTCCTGCAGGTCTCCCACTCGGATGCAGGGGCCCAAGGACCTGGGCCATCCTCCACTGCTTTCCCAGGCCATAGCAGAGAGCAGGATCAGAAGAGGAGCAGCCGAGACTCGAACTGGTGTCCATATGGGATGCAGGCACTACAGGTGACAGCTGTACCTGCTATCCACAGCGCCGGCCCCTGCTGGGTGTTTTGCGGATCTCATGCTGGGATGTCAGACTCACACCGGCCAGGAGGCAGAGGCTTACAAGTGGGACAGGCTTCTGATGCCTGTCCTGGGGCAGGGCGCGAAGCTCTAACAGACGTGACTGGGTCCTTGCACCATGCAGCGCACCAGCCGCGGGCCTGCACAGGGGCACGGGCTCATGTATTTGTTTTCTGATCATGGTAGCACAGGCAGCGCAGGGAGGAGGTGAGGCTGAGCAGTGTGTGTTTGGCAAATTTGGGACATGAACTCTGAGGTTGTGCCAAGGAGAAAATGCTGCTTTGAAATGAGAAATGATTGAGCGATAGGAGAGCATTGCCTGTTAAAGAACAACTTGTTTACTTAACTGTCCTGTTGAGAGTTTTATTTATACCGGTTTCAGAAAGAATCTGCAGCTGCTAATTATTGAATTAGTCTGTGAACTCCTTGAGGGCAGGAAGTGCCTTCATTATCTTTCCTCCTCTTCTGAGAGGCTAACCCCTGCTTCCCCGTCTCCTTCCCTCCCCTGGCTGGATTGCGTACCTTCTCTATGTTATAATAATTCTAATATCTGTTTCTGTGTCATTTTTTGTTTTTGAATTGTGAGGGCTCAGTGAGGACAGGGACTATATATTTCAGTATCTCATCCATCCATCCATCCATCCATCAGCAAAAATCTATCTATCAGCAAAAATCACCCATCCATCCGATCATCTACCCTAGCCACAAAGCCAGAGTCCAAACAGCCATCCATTCCATCCAACACCCACCTACCCATCTATCATCCATATATTTTCCCAACCACCCATCCATCCAACTATCCATGTATTCATAACCCATCCATCCATCATCATCCATCCATCACCCATCCATGATCCATCCATCATCCATCGATCATCTGTCTGTCAATGATCCA